GCCTTAGCCTTAGCCTTAGTCGTTTGCCTTAGCCTTAGCCTTAGTCGTTTGCCTTAGCCTTAGCCTTAGTCGTTTGCCTTAGCCTTAGCCTTTTGCCTTAGCCTTAGCCTTAGCCCTAGTCGTTTGCCTTAGCCTTAGCCTTAGCCCTAGTCGTTTGCCTTAGCCTTAGCCTTAGCCCTAGTCGTTTGCCTTAGCCTTAGCCTTAGCCCTAGTCATTTGCCTTAGCCTTAGCCTTCCCGGTTTCTGATCTTCGCCTGGTTCCCTGGATTCACCCCTTTTGTCTTGCCCCTTTTGATTCTGTCTGCCGATCGTCGACCTGTGCTAGCTCTAGGACTATTCTTGTGTTTTGCCCACCATATACCTGTTTGCCCTCATCTGACCCATGCCTGCTGTATGACCACGTCTCTGTCTGTGTCTAATAAAGCTCTGCGAATGGATCCGCAAGTCTCACGTCTCGTCAGCCCCGTAACAGCACCGAACCGAGATGTCCGTACCGTGACGGTTCGGTACGAATACATGTATCGTTCCACCACCCCTAATATATATTCAGTTTGGGTTTGTTTCATTGCTGAGAAAAGACAGTTTTATGTATGTATGTTGTGCACCATCCATGTCTGTTTGTTTCATTTTCAACTTTGAAAGACATGCCTTGAGATTCCTACAATATTTTCTCTAGGAATTTGCATGTGGGTCAGGCTGCAAAATTCTGTTTCTGAAGTCTATCCTTCTAAATATTTGGGTTGAATAATTCAGGATGTTGACTTCATTCTCCTCCCGTGGAGGAATAATCTCACTGGCAATGGGCTTCATGTGTTCCCTGTTTGGCTGTTCTTTGTCCTGCCTGCGTGTGGTTCTTATGATGATAAATTTGAGCAGCGTGCAGTAACAGTAGAACGAATATCCGGTGCTGGGGTTTCTTAGCGACAGTAATGACTTATACATTAGGCAGGGGTTCTGTTTAGCTGAGACGTCATGCTAAGCATCTGTCACTGACCTTTATCTGATCTGAACTTTTATAGAGTGGCATAATGTGTAAGACTTATTAAGTCGCAGCTTTTTAATGCTACTAAAGTTTTATCTGCTATTTGGATCTGCTAGATAAGTTTAGTATTGAATTCATTGCTTTGTCAGAGTCCAGAAAGGCTAGTTTTTCTTTTTTATGTGCTTATGGCTCTTTAATGAGCCTTTTAAAATGAAATTAAAACAATTGCAGTGTTTACACTTTATCCCAAAGCACCTGGTTTTGTTATTTTATTCTTCTCCGTGATTCTCTGCAGACTTTGTCGCGTTTATATAGTGTTATATACAATACAGATAATCATAAAATAACAGAATCAGTTAACTTCATATTAGACTAATTCAAATTGTGCTCAAAAAAAGACAGTTGTGTCATTATTCAGCTTACTATTGAATACACAACCCGTTGTTTTCCTGTATAATTTATATATGTGCCCACTATATACTTAATACTATATACTTTACTTAGTAAAGCAAGCACCATGTCTCTGAGCCTCATTGAAGTTTAAAACTAATATTTTAAAAATATATATATATATATATATATATATATATATATATATATATATATATGTATGTGTGTGTGTGTGTGGCTAGTATGAAATATTGGAATATTTAAATATTGTATATTTATCTGCCAGTGTAAAAAAATGTATTTGTCCGAGCATCGTCAATGGTCACATTATTCAAAAGCATTACAAAACAAAGCAACTGCTCTTTTTGTTTCGTCCAAAGCAGTGAAAGGCAGAGAGCTTGTGAGAGGCTTTTGTGGGCGAGAGTGTTTGTTTTGTAGAGTTGATTGTCTTTATTTGTGGAGGATGGCATGGAGGGCATGCACAGTGGGTGTCGTTTTTGTGGCCACTTTGAGTCAACTGTTGGAGTGGGCGGGACGTAAACTCCCAAACATAAACGCACAGGGGTCAAGCTAATCACTGGAAGAGTGAAACAGACCGCTCATTTGTCATAGGTGTTATTAGTTAAAACAGTGTTTGAAAGGGGGTGATGAAGACTAATGGGATCTTATTACCTCATGTGACCCGCGGCCTTTCTGTAGCCTACAGGATGTGAGAGAGACGACACTCAGCTAACAGGGTGATTCAGTGCTAGTGAGACTAGACTGTGCTATTTGTTCAATTGCCAATTGTACAATTGTCCACTGTCCTGTTTCAACATGCAACTGAAACAGTCAAAGCCTTTCCTAATGCAGAAAATTCCTTAATTTACGAAATTGACAGATATTTATGATTTATAGCGACTCCACCCTTGAATCTTTAAAAATCATGGCGTTTTTAAAAGGGATAGTTCACACAAAAAAAATGTGTTTAAGCTTTTAGTTGTGATTTTTATACTGAGCACAGTTTAGTCAGTAATTTATAGGGTTTTGTGTGTTTTTAGGTGGTCCAAGTGGAATCTATGGACTTTTGGCAGTGGTTTTGTGGTTAAAAAATGGATTTAAACACGGTTAAAAGTATTAAATAGTGTTAAACAGCATATAGTGTTACAATAAATAATTTTATATATATATATATATATATATATATATATAAAATAAAGTCCTCAGACAAATTAGTCAAAATATTTAGAGGGCGAAATGTATAATTGTAATGAAAAAATATTATTAAATCTGTGAGTCTTTCTGCACAGATTTCAAATGTTCCAGCTTCGAAAAATATTGACCTTCCTTCCTTTACAGTCTGTTTTATAAAATAAAAACTCTTAATTGGGCAACACCTATTCCTTTCCTTATCCTGTCTCCTTGATATTAGTCAGGAGGAAAATTAGATATGCATTGTTTCAACTTCACATGTAGGAAATGCAGTTCATTCCTCCCACTGATTTGACAATGGGTGGGGTGTCATTTTCACAAATTATATCAAGTGCACAGTGCCAGAGGAAATACCCCTCCTTCATACAGTATAATAAAAAAGAGGAATATATCCTTCATGAGGTTTCTCACCTCATCTAGTTCAGATTTAAAATTTTATATTCTGTAGAATATTCTTTATTCTTTTGAATGCATTAGCATAGTATATGTTGACAGAGTCTGCATCTTGTATTTTTCAGGAAGTAGCAGTTGAGAGGAAAATCACTTACTCATACTCTGGCAGCAGTGGAAGTTCATGCAGTGGCCTTTCATTTCAACTACACAACTAGAGGTTAAGACATTAAGCCATGTCTGGATATACCATATAGTTGCCCGAGGAGCCTCTCTGGACCAGATCTGAAACCAGCAAATAAACTATACTGTATGTCTGCTCTTGATGGTGGGCTAGAGATCATATCACTTGGCTTAAGCCACCCAGAGAGATTCGATCAGTAATACAGGGATAAAAGAATGAAAACTACAGAATCCATCTGCTTAAAATCCAAACATATGGACTGAGCACAATAAAGCTCTGCTTGAAAGTTTAGCTACTACAATAGCTGCAGTCAGAACATTTGGACGACCTTTCGGCTGAATGTGTTTTTCATGTGCTAATGAAACGACAGGAAAGCACCAAGCACTGCCCTTCATCTTGACATTGTTGAAACATTTTGAGAGCAAGGGCTACGCGTGCCTTTAAAGAAACAGTCTGTCTCGGGGAAATTGCGATAAACTCAAGGGACATGTTTTGGTGACTCAAAAAGAAAGACAAATATCTGGATATAAGATCGAAAACAGACGCAAACATAACAGAGGATAGTCTTCCAGCCTTTGCCACATTTGCAAAAGAGCATATCCTACTTGTGAAATTTTCTTGGCACTTTTCCATGGGAGCTGATCCAGGGTGCATTGAGAAGTACCTCCAGGGAGGTCTTGTTAGAGTTTGAATAATATTGTGTGGATTGAAAGCAAAAGTACATTTCTCAGCTCATCTCTGGGTGGTAGCGCGTCTGCTCTGAAGGATTACCGTGAAGAAACCGTCCAGCAAAATGTAGAGCTTTAGTTAGACTTTGATCCTGCTTTTGATTCTTGTTTCGGGAAGCATAAAACAATCCGGGGATCCCGAAACCACCTCTTACAAGCCAAACGTACGCCCCGGCTGAGAAAAAGAAAGCTTTTATCACACACCCAGGCAAGCGTGCCGGCTAAAAGGGGGCTCAGCGAAAGAAGAGAGTCTCTTAGGCAAGGATAAAGTGAAGTGGGCTGGGATGGAGTGCAAACATGAGCCTGCTAGAAGAGGGGACAGCTGGGGTGGGCCTACCACTACAACATCCTCCACCCTCAACAAGACTGGAGCAAACACGTCCCTGGAGAGGCACAGTACTAACATTTTGGAGAAAGATGACCACTGCGGGGTCAAAGCAAAGCCAGGCTTGACGTCTTGCCAGATGGAGCGGAAAACAAGTAAATATTTTCTTCCATATTTCGTTTATAGACCTGAATCTGAAGAACATGATATATTACAGTATACTTTATCCCTTGGGTGTATAATATGTAAGGAAAAATTTACAAAAAACCGATCGGCACCCTGACATGATTGCTTACTAAATAAATGAATGCAAATATAAGTAAAAAAAAAAATTTAAATCAGGGTTTCCAAACTGAGGTTGTGAGTTGATGAAAAGCTAATAATTTGACTGCAGAATATTGCGATTAACCAATCAGAATCAAGTATACCACAGAGTTCATCATTTAAATGGATAAGCGAGTCAGTTCAAATGTAGGGTTATTAAAAGTATAAAGTATACTTAAAACAAACTAATAAAATTAACACTAAAGCAATTAAAATAAAACACTTACTAAGAAACCTGCAATTTTATTAGTTTACCTGGATGTCATGTGACCATAAACCAACATCAGAGAACTGTAAGCATGCAAAAGTGTTAAATTATTAAAATATTTGCTTAAAATCTTAGTAGGACTTAAAGTAAATATTGTAGGCCAACGGGTTCAACTGACAAAAAAGTTTGGGGATACTTAAAAAAAGAGATGATAAGGTGCAATGACAGACATGTAACTAGCAAGACTATGTAGGAAATTGCATGGTTGCAAATTGGAATAATGGTTACAATTAGTGTAATTATACAGAGTCTTAATACTGCAAAGACTGCAGAATGCTGTTATTAACCAATCAGAGTTAAGTATTCAGTAGAGTCATGTAATAAATTTAAATAGATTAGTGAGTCAAGACAAATTTATTCTTTAAAAGTTGAATGCATTTACAGGCCCTACAGAACCATCAGAAAGATAGACTGGCGTATGCTGCTATCCCCTAAATGTTTAAACATCAGTTCTTACTAAACCCTCAGTGACACATTTGTTTCCTCACAGACACAGATGAGCCGTACAGTAATAGCGCTTCACTTCATACCCACTGACCATAATGCTCAAGCTGTGGGTAATGTTATCTGGAAAGAATGCATAATAAGGTTTGCAGATGACCAGGCACCCACTGCAAGTGCAGTAGGTGGGCGTTCACACCAGTGACTGTGTGATTGAGGGGTTTTACAACCCTGCTGATGAGAATTCAGACCCATTTCAGGCAGTCTGAAACAGTTTTTGCAGAATTCAAGAGGTTGCTGTGATGTTACAGCTTCGAAGTGTGTAAAATGGCGAGAGGGGAGGATGTGGAAAGGCTGAGATGGAACAGCTAATTCAGTCACTTTATATTGGTTTCATACCGTTCCTAGGAAGATACGCTGAAGTAAATGCCAGCATTTTCTCTCTTTTTCTTTCGTTCTCTCTCTCCTTGTATGGGATTAACGTTGGCCCACAGCATCATGATTTGATGAGATGCAGAATGTTATGCTTCTCTTTCTTGCATCTCCAGATGCTGATACCATGAAATTGGAAAATGATACAGTGTGATCCAAAAATCTGAGAGCAGTTTTTTCTCAGAATGTTTTAGGATTTTAATTCTGCACTGTTTTTAAATTTTAATTCCACATGTAGGTCTTTAATCAAATTGTGCAGTTTTTAGAGTTTGAACATGAACTCTTTTTTTACAAACAGTCAGCACACGGTTGCATTTGGGATCTTCTCAAATCATGCTGGAGGTCATGATCATCAGGTTTTACACAAACTTTTGTGCAGTTCATCCAGTTTTAGTGCTGCTGTCATTAAAGCAAAAGAGTGCTTAGACAGTCAAAAAATACTAAGATATTCTAACATTGAATTCAACTTTTCAATTTGAATTGTTTTGCTAATAATATAATTTGTAGTAAATTTCTTATTGTCACTGTATATGATAAATGCATTAATTCCCATGTTCATAACTTATTTATAATTGCTAGGGTTGTGGTCATAAGTTTACATACCTCTTGCAGAATATGCCAAATTCCTTATATCCCTTGTATGATCCCTCTTATTCATTTTCTTCTTCTTTCTTTTAGAATCCAACTCATACAATACAAAGATAATGTACTGGATCCAGACACAGTGAAGAAAAAAGGACTTATATACCCAAAGTGATAACCCGCCTGACCTTATGCAATTTGTCTGTAAACTGACTCCAAATGTGGAGTCTTAAACTGTTATCTTTTTTCTATCACCTAATTTTTCATTTTGCAGCTTCTGCAAATGTACAGTAACTTATGGCCACAGCTGTTCATTTCATAATAATATAGCAGGTCAATTACAAGGCATTTCTCAGCATCAGAACTGATCTGTAGATGCTATTCTGTGAATGTTGTTCGACTTGAGAGTAAGGTAGCAGAGTAAGAAATGTCTCCAAGTACAGGTTTTGTGGACAGTGATGTGTAATTGCACATTCATGGTCTTAAACCTTTCTGATCTCATCGCTCCTCACGTACTCGCACACATTTCCCAGAGGAAAACTGTCATTTTATCCCATCCTCCCAGTGAATCATAACATCCGACAGGGGAATCTGACCTTTGATATACAACCCTATGTCTGCCAGGTCCCCAAATCCTCAAGCTGTGAGGGACTTTCCCTCATCTGTCCGAACTGAGAGCCCACATATCATACGAAGCTCAGTACCAACATTACTCCTTTCCCCGAATTCCTACCACTACTTTTTAGGTTTGAGGAAGTTCCTGTGTTTCCCTTCTGTTAATGATAAGTTAAGCGTGAGGGTTATGATTCAGGTATGATGGATAAGCTAAGCAAGCAAACCTCTGCGGTCTAAAATGAACTCCACCCTTGAGGCTCAGGTGTCCATCCACCCAAGTGAGTGTGTTTGCCGGATGGCTCTCTCCCCTGACATCCAATCCTCTGAAAGAGCTGACACATTGATTCTATACATGACACTGATGAAATGTGGCCACTTAATTTGGCGTGGAACAGAATGTGCGAACTAACAGATTCTGTACGTGATTATTTAAGTACATCCAAGGCCGTAGCAGTCATAAATATGAATCGTTCCTACATCCATGATCTCTGGTAACGAAGACAGTGGTTACTCAAAGGGATAGTTCACCGAAAAATGAAAATGTTGTCATTATTTGCTAACCCTCATGTAGTTTGAAACCCACATGCTTTTCTTTCTTCTGTAGAACACAAATGGAGATGTTTGGCAGAAAGTCAAGAACTGACAGCCTCAGTCACCATTCTCTTTCATTGCATATTTTTCCCATTAAATGAAAGTGAATGGTGACTGAGGCTGTTACTCTGCTTCTACATTAGTGTTTCACATAAGAAAGAAATGGGTTTTAAGGTCGTAAGGGTTTAGAACAACATGTGGGTGATATATAATAATATAATATACTTAAGAGAGTTGCTGCAAAACCACTGCTAGAGAAACGTGTCTAATTGGACTTTTGGCTTAAAACCTCATAGTTTCTGACTATAGCCCTTGTGACAACCTCCCGCGTGACAACTAGCCCCGCTTTCCAGGTCTATTCTGTATCCCGGGTCTTCGCTGTTGAATTTGGAGTGTAGCTACCAAACCAAAAAAACAAACAAAACAACAACAGAGGAAGCAAAGTCTGCCAGGAACGTCACACAGCATAGCCATCCTTTTAAAAAAAGCAAAAGGGAAGCGCCAACCTCGTCCAGTGCCCCAGCCTGCCCGCCTCATGCTCGATGCGCATTTGGAGCGCGCAAGAGATCATCATTCGCAACGACACGAAATCCGATCCAGGCTCTCGCTGCTAAAGGGGGAGTGGAGGAAACACTTGAAGTTAAATTAGAAAAGCTCGCGAAGCAGCAACAAAAGAGACTGTATCCAGAGTTAATTAAGGTAAGAGAAGTTTAGTTTGACCCGGTGCTTCTGGAAAGTTAAACAACGGTATTTGCGTAATAAAACGCTTAGATCTGTGAAAGGCATGTGCTGAAGTCATGTTTAAGTTCTGAGGTTTGATGACATGATCGTTTAAATGATATAATGTGATGAATCTTCTTTAAAGCGAGAAGAGAGCAATATTTTGCAGTGAACGCATGCTGTTTTAAAAGAGCAACCAGACTGGTTGCCACTTTGCGTTGTCTTTAGGCATAGACAGACAATAGGCAGCAAGTTTTTGAATGAAAAGAACAACATTGTTTTGAAGTTAAAGTGACAAATTGCTCTTGGTGGATCTCAGACATACCGTTTTTAAGTAATTTTTGATTGTACAGTGTAAAACATTGTATTCTAACCTAAAATGTGCTTCATGTGTTAAAACGGTTTCATTCTAGAATTTTTTTTTTTTAAATTAGTTACCTAATCAACCTAGGTCATTTTTTTTTAACATGACCACATTTTATAGTTTGGTTATTTATTTAAAAAGTAGAAAGCAGTCAGTGAGTGAAGTCATAGCTATTAAATGAACTATGGTCTGGCTCTGATATGGCAGGGGAATTTATAATAAGGAAAAAATTAAAACTGCATTAAGTAATTTCATCATTTTTATTTATTTTATTTATTATTATTATAATAAAAAAAGAAAAGAAAAGAAAACTGCATCTATGTTTATGACTAACTATCGGATTTTGCTCCAGGTTTATAAAAAGAAAATCTTTTGAAACACCGTAAAGATGAATATCTGTAAAGAAGGAAAATGGAGAGCGTTTTATCCCAGTGCTAGAGGTTGTGTTGCATGGCCTGACTAAATAAAAAGGTGTTTTTGCTGGTGGAATGAAAGGCAGATGCACATTATTCATGCTCTAGTATAATTTTATGCCATGTGATATAAAAGCTCCTTTAAGTCTGGCAAACTTGCACATAAAACAAATGGGACAGATTTAGAACTCTTGCTTTTTTACTAACTTTTTAACTCCCATTGTGGCTCTGGCAAGACAAAGGCCTACCTGCTTGGATAGAGAAAAAATTTGTTTTCAAGTTTGCTGCCAAGTCTGGGGTTGAGGATAAAAGCTAAGAACTACCTCGGGGAAACCTAAAGTGGTTAATTATTCAAAGGTCTATTAGGGAAACAGATTGTGTTTATGTTGCACAGGTTAACCACGCTTATATTGAGTCAAGCCGTACAGCCAGTGATGTAATTGTTAACAGTCTGTTCCTCAGGATGTAATGTTCTGGTATAAGATGTTGAGGGTTTGTGTTTTAAAAGTTCTGTTCCTTTCCTGATGCATTCATTTGTTTGTGGGCAGGATCTTCAAGCACACTTGTTTTATTTACTGAAACATTGATGCCACAGTATAACACCGTAGGTCAAAGTTCAAGCATTTAAATGTAGACTTGTCTTGTAAGTTGATGATGGAAAGGCATGAACCTGTCGGGATGTCAGCATATAGAACAATGGTTCCCGTGCCTCAGAGAGATTTCTCAAGGCATGCTGCAGTCTCAAGCAGGGAATTTTCTCGGCAGTTGAGGAATGCTAAGGGAGGGACTACCCATGGTGAAGGAAATACTTTCTGCAGCTCGGAATGGGGCTTTTTAGCCCAGTCAATAAACCTTTGCCATTTTCAACAAATAGATGACTGTTTTAGCATCCATCTTTGCCAAACTATGGGTAGAACTGCAAATATCAGCATTACGATTTATTTACAGGAGGTACTTAGAACTATAAATGTGTGAAAGCATTATACGGTCTACAAAAATTTGCCTGCAGGCTCCATGAATCACAGCAAACTGTGAAAAGAATAATTTTGGCCACAAATCCTTGAACTTAATGTGTCAGCATTTCTTTTATAAGTCTGTCCACAAAAAAGACGACAAACTAATCTGATTCATCTTTTTAACAGGGTGACTCATGGAAGCTAGAATTACTTGAAAGACATATAATACTCTTGACTTTTAAAATAATTATCCTCCCATTTGAGCACATTGCTACTATAGCTGAAAATGAAATAGCAACCAAATGATTGTGACAGCAATGGTGAGATCATGAAATAAAATATAAAGCAAGTTAATATTTGCCGAAACCTGTCGAATTACTCTCTCTAATAAAAAAAGCCTGTGATATTATATGCAACACCCTTTGTTAGGCTGAAACAATTAAGTGCATTTAAAATAGCTCTTCCCTCATAAGACTTGTGAATACTTGGTGGGTTGTGCAAAATTTTACATTTATAAGCGGGGTTGAACTGAAAAGCACTGCAAATGGCATAGCTGTGAATGTGTTATATAATTGAAATTTTCTCTTGATTTGATTGTTGTGTTTTTCTACCATTACAGACCTCAGCAGAAGTGCCAGTTTGTCGGAGAAGGAGCTGAAGGAGGCACGAACCAAGAGTCAGATCATTGCTGCTCAGCTCCAGGCCAATTCCAACTCTAAAGGCGTCCAACTTTTCAACCGGCGCAGACAGAGAGTGAACGCTTTCACACTCGTAAGCGTTGGAGGAGGGGGAGTGGAGGCATCTAAGAATGTAATTGATTCATTTTTTGAAAGTCCACGGACATGGGACAAATGCTCAACTGAGGACCAGGACAAAGAGTTGAATCACAGGAACCTCAAGACCGGTCTCACGAGGTTGGCCGGCAGAATCCACCATACTGGGAGTGACATGGAAGATGCTAGTGAGGTTACACGGGAGGATGTAGCAGAAGAAAGCAGCCAAGATAGACACTTTCTCCCCGTCAATGAGAAGGATGAGGAGCTTTCAGAAGACCTCACAGAGCAAGTGAAGGATGAGGTTACTCTTAGAAGTGACAGTAACCCTGCTGTTATGGACCGAACTGGTGAAGATGAAGCTGAAGCCAATGGAGTACACAATAAAGAAATCCCAAATGGATACAGTGCACAATGCAATGGAAAAGCAGATAAGACGGTGACTAAACAGCCCACCATCATAAACAGAACAGCTCGCCCATTTTTCTCCCCAACAACAGTAGGATGCTCTGAAGTTACAAGTCCAGTCATGGACATCCCTCCAGCTCATGACTCTACAACACACTTTGAACCTTCAACTTACCCAGTGCACCCAAGACCTGTTTTCTCTCCACCACCGCCTCCACCTTCATATCCGACTCCTCCTCTCCCCAGCTACTCCAGCCCTCCTCCACCTAACACAGGCCATGCTCCCTCACCTCAGCCTTCTTCTTACTACATCCGCCCATATGCCCCCAGGCCTACATTTGTCCCTGACCTCTTGAGTGAGAAGAGATCTGTAACTCCCATCAAAACGGGTATCCTCGATGAGGGCCAGGCTCGCCGAGCAACCCGTAAGTCGATGTTCACGTTTCAGGAGAAACCAAAAGTGGCTCCGAATCCCGAACTCCTGTCCTTGGTGCAGTGTGCAGATGAAAAGAAGAAAAACCCCCAGCCAGATGCAGGGCAGGAGGAGGAGCTGCTGGCTCTCGGGGCCGAAGCCTCAAACTTCCTGGCCAAGGAAGAGGACGTTCACAAGGAAGCTGCGGTGCCAGAGTGGGCCTTGAGTTTGAAAAGCTCCAGAACGCGTGCCAGGATAGAGCACAAGCCTGAGCAGGCCCTGACCGATGCTTCAGGAAAAGGAGCTGAACTGTTTGCCAAACGCCAGTCGAGGATGGAAAGGTACGTCCATGACAGCAAGGACCCGAGATCACCCTCTCCTACCATGTCCTTGCCTCCTTCATGGGTATATCCATCCAACATGCCCGGTCGAGTGAAGGCCATAATAAACTCCTCCAATATAAGTGCACAAATTTCAAAGACACTTCAAACTCAGCAGGCCATTCAGAAAAAGACTGTCCTTGCCAAAGCACCAGTGCCTGCTCCAGCTCCACCTCCACCTCCAGAGATACCCTTGGAGAACGGCTGCACTAAAATCGAGATGGAGCTGTCCAAACATCAGCCATACCAGCTTAACTCATCCCTCTTCATCTTCAACCCCACAAAAGATCCCTACAGCACTCTTCCCAGAGCCGCCCCAGCTCCTAAACCTGTCGTGACAGCTCACTCCTACTCCAGACAATCTTCCCTTCCAACAAGCCCATTGCCATCGCCATACAGCCCTTCTGCCACCTATCGGTCAGCCCATTGCTTTTCGCCTCCTGTGACGCCTCTCAGTCCCATCACAGCAGGCAGCGTCAGTTCCCCAGTGTCGCCTTTAGCTCCAGAACGTGTAGCTTCACCTCGCTCTGGCGTCCAAGCACCACGTCCCACGTTCTCCATCAAAAAAGCTGGTATCAGCCCACAGGTGTGGAAACCCTCTTCATTCTTTTAAACCTTTCCATTTCTCCTCTTCTTTGCTTTATGTGCTCTTCAGACCAAAGTATAATGGAAGAAAAGTAAAAAGGACACATATTGAACTGACTGTCCACTTAGACGTAACAAGAGAGCAGTAAGGTACAAAAAATAGCCCTACAAGAAACTTGAAATCTAGCACTCTTGGTCAGATTTGTTTTTCTTGTTTCTTGTTTAATATTGCATGTGGAGGCAATAAATGTCACGTCCTACCTGTTAAACTGACCTTTAATTGTAACTCATAAACTGGCCACCAGAGGGCCATAAATCTAACCTTTCATATTTTTTAAATCAAGACATTGTAATTTAGTGCAGCTTTGTGTTTCAGAACTACAGTTTATTCAGTTTTGTGCTCATGCCAGATATATTTTAGGTACAAAAGCAGTGTGTCATTTTCCAATGCTTGCCTCCAAGTTTTCAGGTTGGAGTTGGTACAAACTCATAAGCAGTTTAGCAGATGGTGTCTTGCCTTTTATGATGTACGGAATACAATTTAATATGAGTAGGGCGATATGAGACCCTCTTCATATTATGGCACCCGTACTGTTCCGTACTTCTCTTTGATTTATAGTTCAAGTTTACAGCTTGCATGCTGCGCAACAGTATGTACTTAATGTAGTGTGCATACACTACTGTATGTTCCACTGCAGGTCTCTGATTAAACAAAGCCATCATTTAATTTAATTAAATTTTATCACAACATGCAGTATGTAGTACCTATTTTAATGCTGGTTGTTTTCAAAAATGTTTTTCATTCTAGCTTCTTGTTTTCAAATGATTTTGTGTACTCTGTTTCATTAAAACAATGAAACACTTTCTTTTCTGTCTCTTCTTTTCATACTATATTATCTTTTTCTGTTGACTAATCTGCTGAATTTCCTTTGTGGATTTCTTCTTTTATTTGCAGTATCCCCTCTAATCAGTTGTTTCAATTTTCGGTCATATCTATCCTGCAATGAGAATCCCAGGCCAGCTTTCCCACAGAGTCGTTTTTATCTATACGCTTGTACCAACAAAACAAAGATATGCGTATCAGAGCCACCCGCCGCCTACACTCTTAAAAATAAAGGTGCTTCACGATGCCATAGAAGAACCTTTTTGTCTAAATGGTTCCATAAAGAACCTTTAACATCTGAAGAACCTTTCTGTTTGACAAAAGGTTCTTTGTGGCGAAAGAAGGTTCTTCAGATTACAAAAAGGTAATAAAGAGATGGTTCTTTAAAGAACCTTTGACTGAATGGTTCTTTGTGGAACCAAAAATGGTTCTTCTATGGCACCTTTTGAAGCACCTTTTGAAGCACCTTTTGAAGCACCTTTATTTTTAAGAGTGTAGTGGTCTGACCCAAAATGAAATGAGAAACTTTTTTTAACACTGACTGAATATGTATGTGCCCCGCACATTCCTGGCCTGCCCCCTGAAAATGCACATCTGAGCCGAAACTGGCCGCTGTGTGCTTGAGCTTTAGGCCTGACCTCTGGCCTCCCTCATACTTGGAAAAACACATTAGCTGGAGGTGAAAACATACCCAGCAGCCTCAGCAGTGCAAATGCATATCTCAGTAAAGGTTAGTGGTGTTGGCAGCGTGCATGCAAGCGATCTGAAGATGCCATGGTATCGTGGTGTGCTGGGAAACTACCTAGACATTGGACAAGAATAAACAGCTTGATGTAATCACAGGGTGCATGAGAAGGCCTGATATCGATAACCACATCTGAAGTTGCATGCAGTGCTGCAGGAGGTGTTTTAGATGTTTCAGTGGCGGTTTAGAGGCTAACCTTATGGAACGGGTGCACAGTATACCTGGCATGAACTTGGAAAGCTTGGACTTTTGAATGGCTGTTGAACCTTTGGATCCAGGATTGTTCTGCTGCTGTTGTACTTTGAGTGTAATGATATCTCTGTTTCTGTACACTAACATTCCTCACTATCTACATTTATAACAGAAAAGAAATGAATATTGTTATGCAGGGCTCAACAGTAAGGAAGGTGTGCTGACCAAGTTTTTGGTCTAATTGAATGAACTGCCACATGTACGGTTTGATCAACGCCATATATATTTGATCATTTATGTATATTTTTATGCCTCACAAATTTTATGCCATGTTTTGCTGTGACATTTGGTTGCAAATTGTGCTCATTAGCTTTTTAACCTTGTCAGCTAAATAAAACTATCTAACCTGATGTCCAGCATTATCTGCCCAGTGCAAGTTCATTCCCTCTATCATAATGTCTAGCTATTATATGTCCACCTAGCAAATGTTTGTAAATAATCTCGAAATGTGATCATTTTAATTTAGATGCGTGAAAAATGTAATGTAAAAATGTACCGCTTTATATAATACAGATTGTTTCAATGCAGCTTCACAGTAATAATCGATGATGCAAACTTTAAATATGGGACAAATTCAAATTCTGCTGTAAAACAGTTATAAAAACAAAAGTAATGTAAAACAAAAATATCCAATAATAAATAAGTTAAAAATTTTTATGATAATGTTAAAATATTTAAAAATGATAAAACATTTAAAAATATTATCTTTAATTAGCTTTGGTTCAAAATATTTCTATTGAATAACATAATGCTTTAAATAATATTAACTTAAGTTATGCATTTAAATGATGAACTTTTAAATTAAAATGTAAATATACAATTATATTTTTATTATTATATATTGTATTATATGAAATTAGATAAAGTATATAATTAATAAAAATATAATAAAAAATATATAATATATAAAATTTGAACTATGGCAAACAGAAAAATCCTTATTGTTGAGCCCGTTTATTATTCAGTGTGTGTGTTTGTGAGTGTATTTAGTGATATGGAGACACTACATTAAAGTGATGTCTCACCTCTTCTAATCTTTTGTCTTATCAGATTAAGGAGGAGACCCCGGCACCAGTCAATAGCCCCGGCCCCACCACCCCAACCTCCAGGACGCCCAACCTCACTAGACGCTTCACCAGCCCTGAGGTGCTTTCCAGCGCCATCTGGTCCCCCAGCAGCCCTCTAGTGACCTCTACACCATCCACCCCAATCTACAAGCCCACACCAATCTCCCCCTCACCCCGACCCATCCATAAACCCGTCACAACATGCCCTTCCCCAAGCCCTATCCACAAGCCCATTGCAACCACAGCATCTCCAGGTACCATCTTCAAGCCGAGCGCCACCTCTCCTGTGTCTCCACCCTGGGAAACCAGGTGCCAGTCTCCGGCCGTCAGCCAGGACACCAAAGCCAACCACCGCATTTTGGCCAAAAACATCATCAATGCCGCCAAGCGGAAAAACAGTCCGTCTCCCGGGGCGCTGGGTGGCCACAGTCTGCCCATCTCCCCGGTGAGCGGCGGGATCGTGCCTTATGAACACAATCCTGTCAGTCCATTTCAGCCACGGATGCTGGGGGCTCAGTCACCCACCCTTACCAGTCCCTCTCCCACCCGCATGATCCACTCTCCGGTGCGCTTGTACAACACCCGCTCGCTGACTGACTCGGACGCCTCGGTGGAGTCTGAGGATTCGGGTCTGCGCTCTCCTGGAGTGCGCAGCTACAACACCTGCCCCCGTGGCTGGGCCGGCGGTCTGCAGGTGAAGAGGGGAGGCATGTCTGAAGATCTGTAGGAACTAGGAAGCACTTGATGATTTATACTTCAGCCTGATTTCGTTGTAGACCAAAGTGTCCCTTAAGTATTGAATGTAAAGCATTGTGGATTTTGCAGTACATTGAATACAGTACAGTATGTTGACTGTGTGATGGAATCTATACATATCGTTCAAAAATTTTGGGTCAGTAAGATTTTACTGAGAAATGTATTCAGCAAGAATGCATTAAAATGTTCAAACGTGACAAAAAGGCTTTTTTATTGTTAATAAATAAATGGTGTTCATTTGAACTTTCTGTTCATCAAAGGACCCTAAAAATATATCAGTTTCCACAAAAATAGGAAGCAGCGCAACTGTTTTCAAAATTGCTAATAATACGAAATGTTTCATGAGCAGTAAATCTCCATATTAGAATTAATTTTGAATGATCATGTGATTCTGGAGACTGGAGTACAATGTGAAAATGTTTCAAAATATTCCTGTTTTTACAGTATTTTTAATCAAATAAATGCAGGCTTAGTGAGCTTCTTTCAAAAACATAAAAAATCTTACTAACGCCAAATTTTTGAATGGTAGTTTAGCTTAACATTGAAAAAAAGAAAGAAAATTCTGAAATCTTTTACTCACCTCACATGTTTACTCAAATCAGTATGACTGACTTTCTTTCATGGAACACCAAATGAAGTGAACATTCACATTCTGACTAATATATGACTATATTGTCCTTGTTGGAGTCTGATAGCATCTGTTCCTATTCACTTTAATTTTCTTGTGTGTTCTATGGAAGGAAGAAAGATTTTATCAAGGTCATATAATTTAGCAACAACATGAGGGTGAATAAATGTAGATTACATTTTCATTTTTCAAGTGAACTGTTCCTGTAAAGTCAAATCTTGTTCTCGTCTATGCAACTGTCTGTAATCTAATGAAGAAGGCATTACATGGATTCAGAAAGGTGTACCAAAGCACTTAGTTGTGTATTACCAAAGATAAAAAATAATGTGCAAGACTTTTCAAAGCAGTATTAGATATTAACCTCATTTTTTTTTTTTTAAATCTACGTAAACATAAAAGGGATTGACTCTTTTGCTTTTTTGTACAGTATGTTTTGACAATGTGTTAGAGTATTGGAATGTGACAATAGGTCCGACTCGAGTCAAACTGGGAAGGAACTGATTGCTTTTTGCTGATTGTGAGTTAAGATGTAAAGACAGAATGACACAGCAAGGTTTCTATGGTATGAGAGAGAATGGTAGGACATTTTCTATATTAAGTATACTATAAATGGAAGCTGCAGGTGATCTGAAATACAATATGGTTTCCATATTAGTTTAGCGCTGACATACATGATGGAAATACAATGGTCTGATGCACAACGGGAGAGGTGAAAAAATAAAGCATTAGGAGGTTTGTACAGTGTGATTTCACATAAAATGTAGGAATGATTAAATTTCAGTGTTCATTAATGCACCTTGCTTAGATTGCTATTATTATATTTCAGTTTCCCAAGAGGGCAAAAACAGGAGAAGAGAGGATTCTATATTAGTTAATCTTCACAGCATTTCAGCATTTCACGTAAAAGGGATTCTGGGTTTAGGGTGATTTGAGTGCTCTGTTGGTACAATAAGGTGAGATAATTGCTTTTTTATATACATTTCACACAAATAACCATTTAATGGAGCACTTGTAAGGTTTATCATATACGTAAACATACGTAAACAAGTATACACACTGTATACTGTGTGATAAACAGTAATTCACACTACTTAATACCGTAAGTTTGTCTGTCGTAGTTCTGAAATTACATATTGAAATCTGTCTGAGCTGATCACTAGCAGTCATTTAAGGATTAAGTCTTAAGGTTCATGCATACCAAGTGTACTCATGTTTGCCTGCGCTCAAATATTGGATCACCACACATGAGAAAATCATTCTCTATGTTGGTGCATCAACAGATTTTTGAGTATTTGCATACGGGGAATTTTGATTGACAGGGACATCAGCTGTAAAGTGACTTGGCACCTTTGGTGAGAATAATGTTATCACTTTCGAGGATGCTGTACAGCCCCTGTGTGCTTGTGCGATCCTTTATTTGGATTACGGGAGATGTTATACATGATTCAACTTACATATACAATTTCTTTAAGTTTGATATCATGTCTGAATAACCAGCCTCATTATTATCTCTGTCTGTTTTCTGTTCTGTTTTTAAATTAAGTGAATAAACACAAACAATGTCATCTTCTTGGATAAAGGTCTTCATTTCTTGCACAATCTGTTATATAATAATTAATTTCATTAATTATTACTACAAATGCATAGTTTTACATCCATATAACTGATTTCCTCACTATTTTAGAAAAAAATGCACATTATTATAAACATAATATAATTATAGGAAAGGGTTGTAGTTTATATTCTGAGCTCCTTTACTGATATGGTATGTATACTGTAGGAAGTAGGCCTATTTAGGATATTGTTATTATTGCAATTACTACTACTACTTCTACTACTACTACTACTACTAACTGAGAATTGGACAGTATAGACAAAGTCTTAAAAATCATTCAATCTAGTCTGCGAATTGCATTCATACACTAGGATTAAGTAAAAATTCTTTAATCAAAAAGTTGGTCCTAATGTTTCTTGAAGAGATGAACAGATGCCTGGTCAATACCGCCACCTATAGGACTAAAATGGTAAACTGGTTTCATTCCTACTGTATCCATCGCTGCAGACGCAGGATTTGAGTTCAAAAGAATATGTCAAATATTAAATATTATGTACAAATACAAATCGAAATTAGCTATTAGTATATGAATAGGGGCGGGGGGTGTGCAGACATTAAACACTGTGTATTTTAGTATTTAAATTATGCAAACCTCATAAAAATATTTAAAGTCTCAAAATAGTTAATTATTAAATAAATTAATAATTCTGTATTATTTCATCAACACCTTCAACATGGTCACTAGTGACCTCAAGGAACAGTTTGTTCTTTTGTAAACAGCCTTTTCATGATAAGAGAATAGAAATGAGAAATAAAATGGATTGTCCATGAGATTAAATAGTCTCTCAGATGCATGTTTATATCCTGTTTAGAACATTTACTCATGTTAACAGGGAACGTTGCTTCACATTCTCCAGAGAGACCATCAATGCTGCATAGATGCTGCATACAAGAACAGCTCCAATGGCAGCAATAAGCGACGATAAATAACAACAACAACCGGAAGTGAAAAAATAAAATAACCCCTCAGCAGTCTGTAATTATTTTACATGATATAATGGCATGTTTATCAGCATTTACAATATTGCCAAAGTATACACTTCTAGCAGTGTAACGGACTATAAAGACGATTAAATAAATATAGGAAACCAAGGGTAAATCAAAAGGAAAGGGCAAAAGTAATAATAATAAAAAAAACATTAATGTGAATGAATTTATGCAAAATACAGTCTCGCAGGGTGGGAAAAGCTTGGGGTGGAGTGGGAAGCGGTGGTATACTAAACTGCATAGTAGTTATATTTAATTTGATTCTTTATATTTATAGGTATAAAAACAACTCAATGTTTACACATTCATTAGGAGTTGGTGTTTGGAAAAACACTACTCAAGACGACCTAAACAGATCGCAAAAAATACTTTAAAAAGGTCAAATACATTGTATACTTGCGAAAGACACTTTATATTTCACAATGACTTGTTGGTGAAATAAATCATCTATTAAGGGATCCTGACAGGACTTTTATTATGACAGCTTGTTCAGTTGACAGTGAGCTGGTGTCCTCTGATTGCAGTGTCGCGCTTCTCTGTTCTTGCTGGATTGTTAGATGGCTGTGGATTGTTTTCCTCGGGACATTCACAACAAGGTTAAAATATCAAACACGTCTCATGACCCCAATCCAAAGCGTTCGGGGTTTATCAGGGGGGACCCGGAACAATAATTTCCTCACCCATTTAACTCCTCATGCGTTGTTTATATGTTGAAAACGGATGAATAGATTCAGCGTTTGTTGATGGTGCATTGTTGTGGTTTGTGATGTATTGCTGGCTCGCAGCCTCTTCAGCTGAACTATAGATGCATGAATCGTTTTCGAGTCGTGTTTGTGCCGATCCGTTTAGTTTTTCGCAGCGGATCGTTGAATCAACGCAACAGCGTTAGCTGGCCTGGACAAAATGAGCAGAAAACAGCATCATTTTAAAGGAGCAGAGGTCAGCTGCTGTGTTAAATACTTCTTATTCGGATTCAACATCATATTTTGGGTAAGTTTTGTGGATCTGCAGTTCATTTGCTTTTTATTATGTTTCTCAAACTCAAATGAATTGCCTCCAAAATCTTTTCATTGTGTGTTTCCATCATCTAAACAAATCGGGATTGCAAAACAGGTTCAGCAGGATAGACAGTTGCCTCATTCATTTCACAGCATGTAACATGAATGTGTTTAATATGAAATATATCGTACCAGTGCTGTATATTTATTTATTTGAATGGTACATGATCTAGTGATGTGTATGATGTTGGATACATTCTCAGATACTCATCCAGGTAAAAATAGATAAATGAATAAAATAAAATAAAATAAAAACTAAATAAATAAATCACCTGTTTCCCATGGGAATGGATTATGGAAATCTTGGTTTCTCAGTACCTTTCCAGATCTGAAGAATACATCCCATTGAGAGGTGAGGGGAGTGGAGGGTAAATAGGATTATCCAGGTCTCATTAGTTGGGGGAGCTTGGGTCAATTCACAGCTTTAACAGAGATTACCTTACACCATTCAGTTTTTCCATGTCTGGGTTGGAAATTATACAGTTTTTGCCCCTATTTCCATGTTTCTCTTTTCCACTAACAGTTTTTCCATATTTTTGTAGTGATTGGGAGGAAAGCTGATTGTATCAGTTCTTGAGCAGTTCGGTTATGGTGATATTGATTGTAATGCTAAATCATAAAATGTCAGTGTTTGTGCTTTCATCTGCTATCTGTTCTTATTCTTTATCTGGTATTCAAATCAGAAAAATAAAAAAATCTTTGGTGGTTGATTTTATTTTTATTGCTTTACGTGTTCCAGCCAAACTTATTTCATGAAAACATTGTTATTGATCCAAGTGTTAAGAATATTTTGCTTTATCAAATGTTTAGTTCACATAAAAATATATTAAATTAATTGTATTAAGTATATTTAATAAATATCTAAATATTTAATATAAATTATATTTATATTAATGAATTCATATATTGTTATTTGACTAATCGTCACATAGATGTTTTCCATATATTGAGAGTTCATAGTGATCAAAGGCTGTCAATATACCAAAACTCTGTAAAGGCATTATTAAAGTAGACTATATCTTGTGCGCTATAGCTATTCATTGGCTTATGGAACTTGGAAAAATAGCAAATGTGCCATTTGGGTGACTGTTGTTGTGCTTTTTATGGCCCTTTTTGAGGCTTGACCGCCGGGTACACTTATTGTATGGAGAAATTTTTACTTTTCGGTGAAGTATCTCTCATAAGTGACGCTTAATCCTTAAATATGGACATTTCTCCATTACATCATCATGAAGAACCAATCATGTTGCTCAATCCCACTATGGTTTTCTTGTAAGAGAGTGATAAATTGTGAGATAAAAGGATAGTCTTGGAGCGGGAAGCTTCCATGAGTCACTTCTGGGGTGAACACATCGCCTGGAGTGTGATTCTGTTAAGCTTTTTGATGTCATAAATTCCAGCCTTCATTGGTTAGTATTGAATGGGGTAGTGAAGACCCCTCTGGTGGGTGTGGGGGTAATTAGTGCCCCCTCATGCTTTAATGCTGTCCCGTCTGAAATGTTAACCTTGCATAATGATCCGCTGTCCTCTTTAACAGCTAGCCCTCCCACTGCCATTGTTCCCGCGTTATAGAGAGCCTGTTGTGTTTTGTTGGAACTTAGACGCCTGTGTTTTCACCAAATCATGGCCAGAATGTCAGTCTATACTCCTGGAAGCTGAAATCAACCCTCTTGTCGCTAAATTAAACACTTGACTTGATCTTTTCAGGAGCAATTATTTTCAGGAGCAATTCTCCCAAAGTCAAATCTGATTCTTAATATTCACTTGAAAATGAAAGTTCTGTTGTCATTTACTCACTTTCGTACATGATTTCCACCACAGAAGATATTTTCAGAAAAGATATTTTAAGAAGCTGCATGTTTATGTACATACAATGAGCGTCAGTGTTGTTTTGACTTTCATTGTATGGACAAAAATGGTTAAAATGATGTTGCGATGTTGCTGTTAACTAAAACTATTAAAAATAGTTTTCATTAGTTGAAATATAGCTGAAATAAAATAAAATATAAATAGTAGATGAAAAACTTAAACTTAAAAAAATGTATGAAATCAAATTTGCAATACGTTGAAGTACTAAAATGACTAAAACTGAAATTTTACACCAAAACTGCATAACAAAATTTCTGAAAATATACAAATATCAATAAATACTATAAAAGTATAAATAATACTTAAATTACACAGCAGGTTTGAGTTAAACTCGAGTTTTAATTTTTCAGCTATAGCTATGAGAACAAAAATTGAAATAAATACATTGGTTGACTTATTTTGAGAGTGAAAAGTGTCTTTAAACTAGATTTTTACATTTTCTTAGAAAATTGTGACTGGTGTTTACCCAGGCAAAAGTCACCACTTTTGTGGGTGAAGGTGAATGTTTTTTTTATCTCTGCATATTTTTTGTTATGTGGTTGCTAAGGTGTTCTGGGTGGTTGCTAAGTTGTTGCTTACTTCCCACTGCAGATATGGCCGAATTCTCTCATTCAATGTAAATCTAATCAGTTTTTGCCTATTTTATACTCTGCCAGGAGAAAATTGTACATGGTACAACTTAGAAAATTAATAGTAGACTTCTCCAGAATAACGATTGGAGGTATCATTCATGTCCATAGCTTCAACCGTTCAGGTTAAATTACGTACTTGTGTTATGGTTACGTTCAAATCCCTCACCCTAATTATGAGCAGTAGCATTAATAATTAAGCCTCTGATCGCCATACTTCTTGTCATCTTATTGTCCCCTCATCATTTCTGAAAGCCTTTTATTGCCTCTCGACTCTTTTTGTCTTAGCAGACTGTTTGACCCCCGTGCGTCCATACTGTCTAATGCCTGTCTGATTGGTTTAAAGTGGAGACAGTCTGATCGGACAGAAACCTACCTGATCCCTAGAGCACTTACTTTGCCAGGCTCAGACCGGGCCGAGTTGATGGCCTGTAATTACAGACGCCTCGCTCTGTAATCACAGTCTGATATCTACCCGGGAGGCTTTTGAAGCGACATCTTAACGTTCCCACCGTCAGACCTCCCCCCTTTCCACCCCAGCAGCCTTTAATTCCTCCTCTCCAAAGTCTCCTCCTCCTTTTCATTTGGAAGCCTCGCAGCCCCCTTGTCTTGTATTCAAATGAAGACGTTTAGGGGTGCATGAGAGGGGACGTGCTGTTCCCACAGTGTCTGAGGGGCCCGAGTGTGTGTCTCAGCGAACCCCATTCAGCCTCTCGCTATGGAGCTGATGGGGCCGTGCGGCTATTGTCACACACACTGCCCCTGATGCGACAAAAGCATTGACTGCTGTGTTTGTTTGCACACTTAATGTGCGTGGCTTGTGTATTGTGTACAAAGCAATGCACATTTGTGGTTATTGTGTGTGTTTGTGTCCTTGCTTGTGCTCATGCAGAGCTCATGTGTTTTTGTATGTTTTTCCTTTTTCATATCCTCCAGGTTCATACGGCAGATGGGAACCACATGTCCGTTCCCCCTTCTTCCTCTGTTGCTCTGCGAGGGAGTTTATTTCCATGCCATTTCCCAGCAGGCCCTACTCTCACTCACACACATTGACTCATTCTTACTAAAACACAAATGAATCAAGCCAGAGTCACTCTCGCTGTTCCATCAATTATTAAAAACGACTCTAACGTGCTGATATTGAGCCACTGCTGACATTCAGAAATTATGTGGTAATAACGAACTGCTATTATTTTATAGTTTCTGTTGTTTTAAAATAGACTAAAGCTCACGTCTAGTGAGATTCGTCCCCTTGATGAGGTCTAGAAGTCACGTTCCATCCTTTTGGAAACGACAAACTCAGTATTTCCATAATCTAGGCCAGAGGAAGATATTTTCTAACAATTTAGAACCAAAAACCGGCTCCCATTATAAGTGTTAAACCTAAAACAAAACGTATGAGGATAACACTAGATTTCTGCAATTTTCTTAAGAAAATCTGAATGGTGTTTGCCATTGCAAAAAATGTTGCTGTGGGTGATTGCCAGCATGTTGCTATGCAGTTGCTAATTTTTTCTAAGTATTTTTTGTGTGTGTTTCTATGCGGGTTCTAGGTGCATACTAAAAGGCATAGTGCACCCAAAAATGAGAATTATGTCATTATTTGCTCACCCTCATGTGGATACTAACCTATATGTTGTGTGACTTTATCTTATTTTCATTGCCCATACAGTGAAAGTTGTTTTGGACCCCATTGACTTTTGCCATTGCCAAAAACAGTTTATCAAAATATCTTCTTCTGTGTTCCACAGATAGTAGATAGAAATCAACATGATTGTGAGTTTTTTTTAATCACCCACCAGGTGAAAATCATATCACATCAAATATTCAAACAAAAGTCAGATAGTTTAAAAAAGTTATAGTACACATAGTCATGGTAAAATGATAGAAATTTGACAATTGTAAAAAATAAAATAAAATAAAAAAACCCGGCAAAAGATATGATTGAATAATTTACATTACATTTTAATATGTGCATTTGTCATTTTTATTAAGTATTTTATATTTCTATTTTAATTATTTTCTTTTCAGTTTGAATAATTTTAGTACTTCAACTTAACCTAATTTATTTCCTTTATTTATTTATTTTCATTATTTTTAATCTAATTTCTGAAAGTAAATATTTATTTTTTTCATTTTTATTTAAGCAATTACCAAAAACAGTTTTTAATAGTTTTAGTTTTTGAGAACAACAATAACAACACTGGGTATTGTGCATGTATGTTAATATAATACAAATTAATATCAATGCTTGCCTTAGCAATACATCCAGAAATACTACTATGTACTGAGTCAGACTTTCCAAAAGTATACGTTTCCATGACAGTGCAGCAGTTCTTTAAACAAATAAATATAAAGATGTCAGAAGATGGCTCAAGGAGAGGAAAAGCAAAAGCAGTTCTTATGGATGTAACAGCTGGTGGAAAAAAAGTGGTTCTGTTCACTGTCACAGTGCTGAGAGTTTAAGCCAAGAGTTTATTTGGCTGCTGTTAGTGATAATACAGAGATACTGTAAGTCTAATCATCCACTGTGTGAGATAGCATCCATCCTCTGTTTGGCCGGAATAACTAAATAAGCTGTTTAAGTGCTCTGTGATGCTTGAACGTGCCTAATTCCGATGTCCACGTGGGCGACACATCACTGGCCTCTTATGGATCAGGAGTGGAGGAGATAGGCTGATGTCTTCATGATAGGGATGAGTGGGAGTCAATGGTACGTATTGACAGAGAAAGTGTGTGCAGTGGATGACTGGCCCTCAGCTCTGTCCCAGCCATCCATTGGATTAGCTGAGACCACGGGGAAATGGGATTATGGGATTTGCGGCTGCTGATACCCGACCTCTGACTCTCAGCATCCCGCTGTCACGTTTCCCCTCACGCTGGCGTTGCTCTAACCTGCAGTCAAACATGCACCGCTGAGAGCCCAGCTGGAGTTTGACAGGGAATCTGTAGTTTGGATAACACATTAGAGTGAGAAGGTCAGGCAGTAAATTAGACTCACCGAGAAACATCTTTTATTGCATGGTTTAGTCCAAGGAAAATTGGATTTTAGTTGGTGCCTTGGCCTAGTGGTTGGTGCATGTGCTGCTCTGATTCAAATTCTCATCCCATTCCCCTCTTTCTATTGCTTTCTCTCTCTCACACTATCTCTCTAGTAATTTCCTGTACCCTCTCTTCTGTTTCTGTCTAATAAGGGTGGCGTATGACTTTTTGTGGAAAAGTAGACCAAATGAAATATGTGAATCACATTCCAAGTTTTCTGAAGCCGTACAATAGCTTTGTGAAACTTGTGTTGTTATTCACTGAGAATTGTCCTCTATTCTGTAGGCTTCAAATTTCAGTTGTGTATATTCAAAAATCATCAGTACAGACCATGGTAGGTTTGTCTGGAATGATCAATGATATTGACATGAAATCTGGTGTGATGTGTTTTGGAAATATATGCAAACACATGATATATGAGTTACTTTATGATATAGGTAGAGGTCTGCATGCCTGTGGGAGTTGTGGAAGGGAGCGGGAAGACATAAAACTTCTTTTTAGTCAGGAGTGGGACTAAAAATGAGCATACATTTCAAAATATTTTGTCAGCAATGATAATAAGATGATATTTTGCTGATTTAAAAAGGGTTTTGTTCTGGTATCTTGAGTGGTTTAGGCCTTTTTTCATACAGTAGTGGACAAATGAATTCACAATTCATTCACAATTTAAACTAATTACTGTCTTTATGAGTGTGTTATTAAAATGTTCACTCATTCATTGAGTAATGAACCCCTTCTCTGTGTTCCTCAGAGACGTTCAGCGGTTCTGCCCTGCCTTTGTTTGCAAAATGTGTGTGTGTGTTTTTTTTGTTTGAGTTGATAATGTCAGCTCACACATCAGTAAATAATGATACATAAGACAATACATCTCACATTCCATAATTTTTTTTTTTGAAGAATGAAAGCCATACAGGTTTGTAACAATGCCAGGTTTTTGGTGCTCTTTAAAGTGTGATAGTAAATTTATAGATTGATTTGACTTGGATCGTGTTGGATACACATGCCAAAACAGTAACATTGTACATATATAGTTTCCTGTAAGCGGTAGCATCCAAGTGATTTCTCTCAGGTAAAAACAAGTCTTCTTGGCTCCCTCTCAGGGAACATTATGCTAAATATGGCAGTACATGCAGGGAAATCTCTGTTTTCCGGATCTTTGATTGAATCTCCGCCAAGACTGTTTTTTTTTTCTTTTCAGATGGGTTGCCCTCAGATAAAGAGAGCAGTGCTGTCTGCACACAGCAGTAATCTCCTGCCATTATGGCGCAGGAATGAATTGTATAAGTGCTGTAAATGTGATACATTCTGTTGTGTGCTTGTGTGTTGCAGTTGCTGGGAGCTGCATTCCTGGCTATTGGACTTTGGGCCTGGGCAGAAAAGGCAAGTTGGAAACACAAATACAGAGTAACACAAGGATCGGTGACATGCCCCAGATTCCTAATATTATTATCCATGCGGTTGCCTGAGCAACATAATCATAGACGTAAACAGCAGACAACAGCGCACTTTAACAGCACAAACTACCTACAGATACCCTGTTGTCGCATTCAGTTTGTCTGTTAAGTGCCCAAAGTAATATTTAGCATTAACTTTTCCTGTTGGACTTCATGTTTTATTTTGTGAAACGTTCTGAGGTGCTCTTTTTGCTGAAAGCTCTTCTGTGAATCCCCCATGTTGCTTTTTTCTCTTTTGGTGTCTGTAGTCTCCCTTTTAATACCCATGACATTTGAGAGCATATGGGTGGCATCTTTTATTTATTTCCATGGCAGTTTAATGTCTCTGTTATTTTGTAACAGTACTGCACAGCTCAATAAAGCTTTGTATTTATTGTGACTATTCTCTCTTTGATTTGCCGTCCCTCTCGGAAAAGGTCACCCTTGCTGTTACGTATTCATGCATGGAAGGTGAATGTAATTTCTTCACACTAATGTGAGGTGACTTAATGAATGAAGTCAATTGGCTGATTAATAACCTGGAAATTGCTCCATTTCAGTCGTTGATTGTTCTGCTAAAAGACACGTGTAGGCCATATGGCACTTTGTATTAATGTCAGCCGATTAAGGAACATCTCTGTAGCATGATGTAAATAATTAATAAAGTGGTTCAGTTTTAATTTGCAACATGTTAATCACAGAAATAAAGCATTAAGAATCAAACTAAGGCTGTTGAATTTGATTGGTGGAAATTCTGTTTATTTTAAATGAGTGTTCAGGCAGATTTCAGAGCCTTCTTTTCTAACACCATCATAACAAACCAGGCAAGAACAGACAAAAAAAGGAAACCTTGTTTATATTCACTGTCAGCATGGTCAAATACCTGCTGTTGGTTCTGGGGTTGAACTCAGATTCCACCCTGATGTGGAAATCCAAACGTGGAAGGCATGAATCACTGCAAACCGTTGCCCAAACACCGTCAGTTGTGGCGGCCTAGCAGGTGGTGGAGGATTTTAAGGTCAGGATGTGAACTTACAACAATTCTGTCTGATGTGTCTGGCCCACAGGGAGTGCTGTCAAACATTTCCTCCATCACAGATCTGGGCGGCTTCGACCCTGTCTGGCTCTTCATTGTCGTAGGAGGGGTGATGTTCATCCTCGGATTTGCCGGATGCATCGGTGCGCTCCGGGAGAACACATTCCTGCTCAAATTTGTGAGTTCCACCCTTGCCTCCGGCCTTCAAGCCCTGCCTCCCATTTTTCTGCGACCTGTTTTCCTCTCTTCACTCATTTCAAGGTTTATTTGTTCCCAGAAACGATTGTGTAAATGAAATGAATTGGCTAATATTACATAAGAATACACTGTGACCCAGAAAGAATTGAAATGCCTCCTGAAGGCATGATATGTATTAGAATTATTTTTATTGAAGAATTATTTCCCTTAAAAATTCTGACTCCGTGTGTGTTTTCTCTTCTAGTTTTCAGTGTTTTTGGGCCTCATCTTTTTCCTAGAGCTCACAGCTGGCATTTTAGCCTTTGTGTTTAAAGACTGGATCAAAGACCAGCTGAACTTCTTCATCAACAACAATGTTAAAGCATATCGGGATGACATTGACCTCCAGAACCTCATTGATTTTGCTCAAGAATATGTGAGTCAGTACTTCTCGTCCCCTCTCGTTTTCTGCTCTGCTGTGGGTGTATTTTGAATGGGATTGATATATGTGTGCTCTTGAAAATATGAGACATCTGCTTAGTCATTAAGCTTTCTTTATATGAAAAACATTACTGTAAATTACAGCTATGTGATGATGTAAAGATGATGATAATGATAGTAATGTCACCTCTGATGTTATATATCACATCAGTGGTCGTGTTGTGGTGCTCATGGGCCGAATGACTGGAACCTGAACATCTATTTCAACTGCACCGACTCCAACCCCAGCCGGGAAAGGTGTGGCGTTCCCTTCTCCTGTTGCGTTAAAGACCCTGCTGTGAGTGCCAGAAACAATCGTTTACCACTTGCACTTCCCTGCTCCTTTTTCACAATGTTAACAGTGTCATTCCTCACAATCTGTGCTGCACGCTTTGAGCTTTTAAAGTTTGTTCATAGATCTCATTCAACAAGGTTTAATATTATTTGCTGGTCTGTTTTATGGGAATAACAGGATGTAGCTAAGGATTGTAGTTCAGTGGTACAACACATGTGAGGTGCATTTTTTTTTAGTGTGTAACTAGGGATACTATTGCTAAGGTAACTAGTGTCATGAATCAACTATTTTTTCCCTTGTTTTTTCTCTCTCTCTCTCTCTCTCTCTCTCTAGAAACAATCGTTTACCACTTGCACTTCCCTGCTCCTTTTTCACAATGTTAACAGTGTCATTCCTCACAATCTGTGCTGCACGCTTTGAGCTTTTAAAGTTTGTTCATAGATCTCATTCAACAAGGTTTAATATTATTTGCTGGTCTGTTTTATGGGAATAACAGGATGTAGCTAAGGATTGTAGTTCAGTGGTACAACACATGTGAGGTGCATTTTTTTTTAGTGTGTAACTAGGGATACTATTGCTAAGGTAACTAGTGTCACTATTTTACTATTTTTTCCCTTGTTTTTTCTCTCTCTCTCTCTCTCTCTCTCTCTCTCTCTCTCTCTCTATATATATATATATATATATATATATATAGAGGGAGAGAAATAGATGGATGGATAGATGTTTAGAAGTGGTGCTTTAATTAGCATGATAATAATACTGTTGTTTATCTGTTACAAAATTTGCATGATAAAACCCTCTCAGAAAAGTTATTGTCCCTGTAAAGTTTGCTATTCTATTCTATTCTAGTTTTTTTCTGTCTAAAGTATTGCATTCAGTTCTTTTTATTTTAAAATGATAATTATATCCCATTCTATTATATTGTTCTGTTTAAAAAATCTATTCTTCCCCTAACATTCTATTCTATTTTTTTATTTTGTTTTTATTTAAAATCACGATATTTTTCTGTCCTATTCTATTGAAATATATTTTCATACTACCATTCTATTCTGGTCTCTATTCAATTCAAATGAATTACAATTTTATCTTAACACATTTTTTCAGAAAGTTTATATTCTGTACTTGAGATTATGTTGTATTCTGTTGTAAATTTTTTTACTGTTCTAAAAAATGGAGTGGGAATTCTTTTGAAACAAATGTCACTGAGAAATTGCTTGGAAATTTCACAAATAGTTACACAGAAATGGCACATTGAAAACATGCTGAATTAAACATAAGAATTTTGAAGACTAAAATTTTATTTCCTTGTAAGATTTACCCCAATAATCTTTGTTTTATTAATACATTTGAAAAATACGTTGTTGTTTTTTTACAGTGTATAGAAATGTTTTGAAATAAATTGAGCATGCTCTTTTGTTCTCTCTCTAGGAGGATGTTCTGAATACACAATGTGGCTATGATGTGCGGCTTCAAGGGGTGAGTGTGTTATTACAAGTTAGAAATGTTACAGTTGTGCATAGTATATTCAAAATGATAAAAAACACATTATAGTGTATAAATTGTTGTGTCTGACCACCCTGTGAAAGGAGCACAGAAGGGTTAAGCGATTCTGAGAGCATTTGAGTTCCTCTTGTTCGCCTCCTTAATAACAGTTTAAGCCTTTAAAAGTGATAATTAGCTTCTAGTTATATCCACGGGAAATTGTGGAGCTCTATAATTGGGAAGTCAGCGGCTTATGCCAGCCCAGTGCCGCTCAGAATGGGTGGAGTGACACTGCACCCACGGTTCACCACGGTCTCTCCATGGTACAGAGTACTTATGCTGTATCCATGGATACTCTTTCTCTCACAATCCACCTTTGGAGAGATTCACTCTGGTTTTATAGTGTTTTTTTAATTGATTTGTTGTTTTGAACAATACGTATTGAAAATACAATAAACAAATGTTTGCACAAAGAATCATACTTTTATATATTCTGCATTTCTTTGTTCAACATCTGGAGGAAGGCTTTGAAGAGAACAAGAAAAAGAGAAGTATCTGAAGTAAAGATCTGCGATGAATGAGTTCAAGCAGTTAACTGTCATACAGCTTTTCACTGGCTTTCTCTGACTTCCTACCGGTTTGGCGATACGTTTCTAAAGTCTTTTGTGTCGTGTTCCCTGGGGGGACAAAGATTCTTTGGAAGAAAATGTTTGTATGGTTCACAAAAGCTGAATTGTGTGGCTTTCTCTTTCTTCGCCTTCAAATGTCACTGACAGCTCCATATTACAGCTTTTCATCTCCCTTCCTTCCTAGAATTTGATAGACAGTAGTTAAGACATTCCTGTATGGCTGTGTAATACAAACTGGATCTTCCCTGTGTTAGGTTATATGTGGTGTGACTTTTCGTCTACTTAGTGTGGGAATGAGTTCTTCCAGTTTTCCAGAGAGGATATTTGTTCTCAAATAGGTTAATGTGCAGGTCCACCCAGGTGAAGGCCTAGTTGTTTATCCTGGACTTGAGTAAAGATTAAAGTTCAACTCTGAGGAGCAAACACTGATATGCTACATGGTGCATACATGATCTGACGTTTTCCATTAAGTGCTGTTCTGTTTTGAATAATCTGTTTAATAGGAGTTGGATCAGCAGAAGTACATTTATACAAAGGGCTGCGTGGGGCAGTTTGAAAAGTGGCTTCAGGACAATCTGATCATTGTTGCTGGGATTTTTGTGGGGATTGCATTATTACAGGTAAGGACAATGCTAATGAAAATGGTTTAAAGCATGCACACATCCTTTAAAGATTTAGTAAAGACAGACTGAACAGATTTTCTTGAATGAGGCCTGAGTGTTAAAATGGTCCCACATGAATGAATGTTATGCTGCCACCTTCTGGTTAAACCTTAAAATTCAGCTTTAAGTTCCTGCATAATGGATGCATCTTAAAAATTCCAGCTCATAATTTACCCCAAAATCAAAAGAAAAAATATAAAATGTAAATTTGCATTGTGGTATTTTCATACCAGTACATTTCTCCTCAATATTATTATTACTGTAATGAAAAAACTGTATACAGTAATGAAATTCAGTTTTGTTTTTAATCATATAATGCATTTAATTTATGCTGATTTTATTTCTTATTCTGTACAACAAATATACTACAATGTATACTCAGAAATACGTGATAAAAATGTAATATTGTGTCATTATTTGTCAGAGAGTGAATGAGATTGCAAAGGCTTGGATTTGAGGAAGGGCAAGAAAAATATGCTTTATTGTCATGAAAATGTTCTAAAAAGTCCTAAAAATCCTAATTATCCTAAAGTTTTAATTTTCTTTATTATTATTATTATACATTTTTAAGATATTGTGTATATATATATATATATATACTCTCATTCTGACGGCACCCATTCACTGCAGAGGATCCATTGGTGCACACTTCTTGGACGGGCTGAAGGGGAGCAAATTTTCATTTTTGGGTGAACAATTTCTTAAATAGTAAAGTCATTTATGCCATTCCAAGTTACTGTTAGAAACCGTTATAAAATTATAAAATGTTGAAGGACATCGATATTCCATAAAAACAGAGGTTTTACACTGATGTCATTTTCACGATGACCACCAGATGGCGACAAACCTTCACAGTTTCTAACAGCTGCTAAATCCTGTAAGTTCACCTAAAAGCATTTTCTTCTTTATTATCTCATCATTCGTTTGCACAATATTGTGTAATGCTGACACAAGTAAAGCAGAAACACTGCATGAGCGCCATTAACCAGATGCTTTAATGCGCTTACGTGCTCTTTGACATGGTCTCTCTGCACATGCAGCAGTAAATACTGTGTCCACCATCTGCTGGTTTTCATTTAGCATATTTGTTTGTGGTTTCTTTGTTTATTTGCTACTCCTTCAATGGCTTTCGAATGGTTTTCTTTACAGAATGTTTTGGTTGTGAAGCTTTCAGTAATTACTTGCTAACCCTCTTGTGAAGTGTTTTGAAGGTGCCGTCATGCTGTGCATGTCAATAAGCAGTATAGTGACATTATCAAGACCACCTCCTTAAAATGATGCCCCCTAAAGAGACTCAATTAGATTCCATACTGCTTTTCTAGCATGTTCCACCAATTGAAATTATGATGAAATTTTGAGCGTATATGACCGGAGGGGATTTTTCTGTCGATGTGTTACTGTACCAACCAAGGCTCTGCATTTGATATTTTACAGAGAGCATGTTTCCGATAGGATCAGCAGATTGGAGGTGCATCACAGCATTGCCTAAAGGCAGGGAGATTCCTTGTAGCTTTTTTCCCTTGGAAAACTTCTGATCTGTTTTCCCCCTATGTGCCCTGTGCCCTTTCAACATATGCCTGAACCTTGACTGGATTACTCAAAGTCTCAAAGCAGGAATGTGACATTTCAGTAGGACTTTAAGATGTCCCTGGCTCAATCTATTTCTGTGGTCTAACCTTAAAGAAAGCCTGGTTTGATGATAGATTAACTTCTGAAATGGCTTTGGCGCCTCAGTTTCAGTATGCTACACTTTTTGACAGTGATTAATTTTTAATCTACTTTAATTCTCGAAGAATCACGGTATTATCAATTGCTAGTTTCGCTTATAGCTTTCTTAAAAGCACAGTTTTGAGTGACAATGGCATCTATGTTGGATAGAATTGGTGCAAGATGCTTTTATTTGTTTTGTATCATCAAAACAGGCTTTTACTCTTACAATTACAATGTGACTTGTGACCGTGAGTATAGACCTTCAACACTGCAAACCCCAACAGGGGTAAAGTAAAGAACGAGTAAAGTCGTTATCACAAATGAAATAATGATACTTCTCAAAACCTGTGTTTACCAAAGTTTATCTAATGTGGTAATTACAAACAGCGGACATAACCATTGAAGTTGCAGCATGCAGACTCGGGTTTACCATAAAATGTTGTTTCTACTTACTAAATTCAAGTTCAAAGAATTATGGGTATTTCTCAAAACCCCACTTTTGTACTTGATCATTTTGAGTTAACACATTTTATTTTGTTTTGTTATTGTATTTTATTTTGACATTTGAAGCAGTGTTTAATTAAAATTGTATTCATTTGACACGATTAATGTTTATAGTGTGGTTGCTTATATACTGTATAAAATCGAATGGCATTGGGTCCTTCCCCCCCATCTAAACAAGACAAATTGAGAAGCAACTTATCTTATATAAGTGACGTGACAAGTGGTTAAGTATGGTCTGCATTTAAACCATCCAAAGTGAACACACACACACCCAGAGCAGTGGGCAGCCATTTATGCTGCGGCCCGGGGAGCAGTTGGGGGTTCAGTGCCTTGCTCAAGGGCACCTCAGTCGTGGTATTGAAGGTGGGAGAGAGCACTGTACATTCACTCCTCCCACCTACAATCCCTGCTGGTACGAGACTCGAACCCACAACCTTTGGGTTACGAGTCCGACTCTCTAACCATTAGGCCACGACTTCCCTTATATGTATATGTATACTTGACACAAACATGTCAGTAGCGGTAGCAGGTCTTCTCTCACAGTCTCAGCTTTTCTTTAGATGCTTTTTAGGCAAAGGATAATTTTGTTTATAAGTCACGGAATGCAAAAAAATATAATGTGGATTTGTTGTTTGAATGGTGAGAGTGACACTTTTGTTTTTTTAAAACATGTTTAAACGTATCCAGTCCCATTATGGGCAGCACTATTTCAGGACTCTGCAAACAAATGGTTCTCAGCTGTAATCAGATGTCCTTTAACTAGTTTATTGACTTAGTCTTCATTATCCGATAATTTCATATTAGCATAACTCAAAATACCCTCTTAAACTGGATAATGAATATTGCACTTGCAGGCCTAAAGCATTTTCTCCATTATTCTGAGTCAATGATTGTACTAACCTATAATAACACTCATAATTAATGTGGGATTTTCACTCTATGAAAAAATCGATATAAAATTAGGATCATATTTGGAAACCATAGCGGTGCCACTGTTTTCCAGTGGTTTTGTTTTATTTGATGTTATTTTTTTGTAATTCTTGTCCAATGGTTGATTTATTGGTGGCATCCACAAATGGACTTTTCTTCTGGGAGATGGTCTGTTACACTGTATACCATTATACAAGATATGATTTTTCTTTTTCATAATAAAATGGATTTATGACATTCTAAACTCAGTCTTTCATCTGCAAGTTCTGTCAAAAATTTGACTGAAAATCTGTTTGGTTGTACTTCATAGATGGATCGTTCTGGAATTATGGTGACATTCCCAGCTGTTTTTTATTTCCAAAATGAAACTCTTCAATCATGCATTATACCTAATGTGCTAGATTATTTAGCTTTTTTTTCTCATTTCTGACAAGGTCATACAAAATGATATGGTTTTAAGAAAGCATTTAATTTACCATTGGCTGACCTGTTATTTTGTCAGTGGTTTTACAAATAATTTAATAATGTTCTTTTAAATATTTAATGAAATAGTACATTATACATGTTGATAAATGACAAATTATATGTATTATTTTAATGTGTAGTGTTTATTTTAGTTTTTTCTCTCTCTCGAAAATATGTATTTTTAAATTGGGTTAACATTACTGATATTAAAATAAATTTTTTTTTAACCGTTTACAGTTATTACTTTTTTATTTACATACATTTTACATTTATATTTTATTACCTTTTTTGTACTTTTTCAGTCACAATAGCCACATTACAGAGCAGTGAGATGTATATTGTCATGCTAGAGATTTAAACATTAAAGGAATAGTTCATGCAAAAAAAATTCAGTTTTGCTGAAAATAGTCACTCTCAGGCCTTCCAAGATGTAAATAAGTTTGTTTCTTCATCGGAATAGATTTCTTAGAAATTGAGCATTACATCACATACTCATCCTCTGCAGTGAATGGGTGCCGTCAGAATGAGACCCCAAACAGCTGCTAAAAAAAATCACAATAATCTACAAGTAATCCACATTACTCCAGTCCAGCAATTAACATCATATGAAGAAAGAAATCCATCATTAGCATTATCATGGATTATTAACTAATTTGGTCAAAGTAATTATTTAAAGTTAATACGCTTTCATGATGGATTTGTTTCCTACAATTACAATTTGTTCCTTATGTGTGAATTACTTGTTGATTGGGGAGAGAGCACTGTACATTCACTCCTCCCACCTACAATCCCTGCTGGTACGAGACTCGAACCCACAACCTTTGGGTTACGAGTCCGACTCTCTAACCATTAGGCCACGACTTCCCTTATATGTATATGTATACTTGTAGACAAATTGTTTTTCTTGTTTTAATCAGGAAAAAGTGGGATGAAATAGTGGGATGAAAATTTAAGATATTATTTCTTTTTGTTCATTTTTCTGACAAAATTTTCTTGTTTTAACTATATACACTTAAACAAAGACACCATCTCTGTGAAAACAAGACTTATTTTATGTCTTATTGAATATATATATATATATATATATATATATATACATACATACATATATTCATACAGTCAAACCAAAAATTATTCAGACACCAGATATCATTTTTGATATTTTTTTACTATTGGGTGCAGGACACTATAGTTCTTTTATGTAAGTGAGGATAGCAAAATAAAGTGAACAGTGGCATATTATACCCCAAAATTCTTCAGACAGTGGAATTTTGAAAAAAAATTTGGGACCAAAAATTATTTAGACACTTTGACTTGACCATGTTTTGCTTAAGTGCTTTTTCTTTAATTGCTAATGTGAAGTTTTTACACCACAGACTGAACAAAATTAAGCATTGCTTGGTAATTGGTTGACCTAAATTGGTATTATCTAGTTGTGCGCTTACATTTAACAGCTGAATAATTTTTGGTTGATTGTAATCAATAACATACCCTTCTATCAAAGTAATCTGACATTATCAAGATTAATTTGTTCTGAAACAGTTTAACTTGTCATATTTTATT